CCCCCCCCCCCCCCCCCCCCCCACACACACTAAATACCACACCCTAGCGCTGGTGCAGGGCTGGAACCCTGGATCCCAGCAAAGGGGAACTGTACAATTGGCAATTCCCAAACAGGGCCAGAGGTATCCTTGTCCTGCTGAGAACTGCTCCCAGGTGCACACAGCTTTATCCCCACCCTGCTGTCTATGGGCACAATTTATCCCTGGTGTAAATTCAGGTGGCTGGTGCAGGGCAGCAGGGAATACCAGGCCAGACGGGTGTATGGGTCTGACACAGGGAGGCCAGGGACACCGGGTTAGACAGGCCAATGGGTCTGATCCAGCGTGGCAGGGACAGGCCCCAGGTCACACGGGGCAGCTGTTTCCTCTTGGGTTCTGCAGGAGCCATGGGATGAAATTAACAAAGGGAGCCCCAGGTTGGGGGTCTGTGAGCCGGGATTCCCCTACCCAAGGGAAGGGCCAGGGTTTGGGGGGTGAGCCGGGGATCCCCTCCCCAGGGGATGGGCAGTAGCCCTTGGGACTGGCGCATCTTTGGCCCAGGGATCCCCTCCCCAAGAGAAGGGCTGTGAGCCCCCAAGACCAGCGCTGACCCCCCAACACCCGCCAGTCATTTAACGCCCCCAGGCGTGGGCACATGGTAGCTGTGAGGCGGATACAAACTGACACTTTGCACAGCATCCCCGCACCGCGGCTCCTGTACAATGCACGGCCCTTGTGAGCACTTAGAATGAACCAAAGCAGGTGTGTTGAAAAACAAGAGAGACGCCCCTAGAAAGCAGAACGGTAGAAACAAGTGGTTACAATATTAAACCAAATCATAAAACAGGAGCTAGGGCCTGCCCTTATTAGCAGTTACCTTTGTTAGCTACTAAGGTAGGTTCCCCCCACAGGCCAGTCGGGTGCAGAGCTGGCCGGTTCCCCGGGATCCAGCCTTTGGTGAAACCCTCTCGCTCCACGAGATGTCTCCGCAGTGAACAGATACAGAGGGTCTTTCCCCACCCTGGGACGCACCGACTCAGTCTTTTGTCTATTCCCAGCCAGGGCGATCCCCGCTCTGCTAGAACGTTCCCTTTTTACCTCTAAGTGGTTCCAGTTCTTTGCAATTGTCTTTGATGGTTTTCCATTGACTGTTTGGAGATGGGACTCGGGTAGACGACTGAGCCTTGCAACACATCACCAGCGGACCAGGGAGGGGTAACACCTTCCCTCCGAGTCCCGCACGAATGGGCATCACCCAGACATATCCCCAGTGACTAACTTTTATATCAAAGCCCACAAGTTAGAGTATCCCTTCAATCTCACCCACACACCCATCTCCCAGTGAGCAGGGACAGGTTATGAGCTTTCAGTGCAGCCCGCACATGCTGCCCTTCCTGGCTCAGTACCATGGAAGTGCTGTGGGAGGTGCAGTGAGTTTGTCAGGTCTGGGACAGGGGTTGCTCGTAAAGAACAGTGACCCCTTTGCCAGCTGGCACCAATGGGCCTGGCTCACCGACAGCCCTTTGGAAGAGACCCTGAGCAAAGCCCTGGCTGGAGAAGGGCCCAGTGACCGGTGACTTGGACTGAACATGCTGCAGGAGAGACGCAAACCCTGCAATACAACAGCCTAAAACCCAACACCCAGAGGAGAAAACTGTTATAACGACCTAGCTAGAATCTCCCCAGGGCAGACAGGATCCATGGGCGGGAGCTCTCCTAGCCAGTGGGGTCAGCAGCTGGGGCAGGGTCATTCTGCCCCACGCCCTGGGGTCCCACACGCCGGGGGTCTGCTCCTGATGCAGATGGTGGCAGAATCTTCTCCAACCCCTGCTGTGGAGAGAAAAGAAAATTGTTCAGAGGTGACTTCAACTTGTGGGGATCCCAGTCAGGGGGATGGGAATTCAGCTCTGGGCTTCCCCCGCTGTGCCCTAATGGGGCCCAAACTCTGCACGGGGGCATCTGGACGCTGTATGTACTCACTGGCTGTTGGAGCGTAGCCGGGTTTGTGGGGCCCTGAAACACAAGCAGAGAATGAGGGTCAGTGCAGGGGAGCAGGGTAACCCCTCACCCACGGAGACCCTGACCCCCCTCCCCCAGACACTGGGCTCCCCGTGACCCCGACTGCATCTCGCCCAGGCCAGCCCCACCCCAGTGCCCCCCCCCTCAGGGCACACAGTGCCCAGCCAACGACAGAGCCAACTGTGCCCCCAAGCAGGGCTGGGCTACGGTGATCAGCCCTGCCCCAATTCTCCTTGGGGGGCAGTGTTAGGAGCCATTCCCCCCTTGGCCTGGTTGGGCCGCCCCACTCCCCAGACCTCCCCACATCCCGGCTCCATGGGAACAGCTCTTACCTGCTGATTTTCTCCTCCACAGGATGACGCCGGCCCCTACGGCTCCACCAGCCAGAACCAGCCCGGCCAGGACGATGGCGACTAGGACCCAGGGGTGCAGGGGGCCCTTCTTCCCAGGGGCTGTGGGATGGAGAAGGGCCCAGGTCACAGAGGGGGGCAGCCACTGGGGCATCCTCCTGGGGCAGCCACAGGCCTTTGCCTTGAACGTCTCCCCGAGAGCGTCTGCAGAGACCTGGCCCCAGGGGAGGGGAAAGGCTGAGCCGGGAAGGGGACGGGGATGGGGCACAGAGGGTGGGTGCTCTGCCGGGCACTGCCAGACACACACGCCACACAGCAACCAGGCCGTTCCCTCGTAACGACATCAGCCTGTGGAACTCACTGTCACTGGATGCCACCACAGCCAGAAAATCAGATTCTCTGAGGGATCGGCCATTTCTGTGGGTCACACGAACCCCCAGAGCTAGACGAGTTCACACTGACGATGGGCAGGGATATTGACCTTCCTGCTGCAGCGCTGCCCCCATCTCTGTAATTCCCATGAGGCTGTGCCCCCAACCCCTGGGTCCTGCCATTCACCCCCCCCACCTCTTACCCCAGACGAGCACGGGCTCCCCCAGGCTGCTGTGCTCCACCCGGCAGGCATAGCGGTGCCCGTCCTCCTGCTGCGGGGAGATCTCCAGGGATGACTGAGTGTAGTACGAGTGAATGTCGTTGGGCAGAATCCCGCTGGAATACTTCTCCGGCACGA